TTTTTTTTTTTTTTTTTTTTTTGAGACAGAGTCTATGTCACCCTAGAGCCATAGCATCACAGCTCATAGCACCCTTAAACTCTTGAGCTTAAGTGATTTCTTGCCTTAGCCTCCCAGGTAGCTGGGACTACAGGTGCCTGCCACAACACCCGGCTATTTTTTGGTTGCAGTTGTCATTGTTATTTTGTAGGCCTGAGGCCAGGTTCAAACCTGCCAGGCCCGGTGCATGTGGTCAGCACTGTAACCACTGTGCTACAGGCACCGAGCTATGGGAAGGAAGATTTTAAGATGAACACAGGAAAGTCTAATATTCCTATTCCAACATGGGTAATGCTGTATGGAAACAAAAGGCATGTACTCCCCAACTCTGGAGATAGTCATACAGACTCAGGAAAGAAAGGAAAAAGGGGTTTCTTCAAACTCAGTATCATAAAGATGGAGAGAAAGCTCTTGACTCATGAAAGACTAAGATCCTGTAATTCCTACTGGGAGATAAGACTGTTCTGCTTTGCACCTGTGGCTCAGTGAGTAGGGTGCTGGTCCCATAGACCAATAGTGGTGGGTTCCAACTCAGCCCTAACCAAACTGCAACAAAAAATAGCTGGGCACGGCACTCTACTGAGGGCAACAAAGTGAGACTCTGTCTCAAAAAAAAAAAAAAGACCATTCTGCTATGGGAGCTCATGCTTATAATCCTAGTACTCTGGGAGGCTAAGATGAGTGAGACTTTGTCTCCAAAAAATAAATATGTTTTTAGTGGCACTTTGAGAAAATGAGGCAGGAGGATCCTTTGAGGCCAAGAGTTTAAGACCAGCCTGAACAACATAGCCAGAACCTGTTTCTCAAAAATTAAAAAAAAAAAAATCTAGTGGAACATGACTCCAGCTATCCAGGAGGCTGAGACAGGAGGATTGCTTGAGCCCAGTAATTGAAAGCTGCAGTGGGCTCGGCGCTGTAGCAGAGTGGTTACAACACCAGTCACACACATGGAGAGTGGTAGATTTGATCCCAGTCCAGGCTAGCTAAACAACAATGACAACTACAACAAAAAAATAGCCAGGTGTTGTGGTGGGAGACTGTAGTCCCAGCTACTTGGGAGGCTGAGGCAGGAGAATCATTTAAGCCCAAGAGTTTGAGATTGCTATGAGCTGTGATGCCACGGCACTCTACCGAGGGTGACACAGTGAGACTGTCTAAAAAAAAAGGAAAGCTGCCGTGAACTATGAACACACTACTACTCCACTCTAGCCTGGCAACAGAACAAGGACCTGTCTTAAGAAAAAAAAGAAAAGAAAAGAATAACCCAGGAAATTGGATAAAATATTTGCAAATCATTTATCTGATAAAGATCTAGTATTCAGAATATGTAAAGAACTCTACAAGTCTTAGAATAAAAAGAGAGACCAAATTTAAAATGGAGATGGGGGCCATAAGCAGTGGCTCATGCCTGTAATTCTATCACTCTGGGAGACCGAGGACCAAGGCATTTGGATTGCTTGAGCTCATGAGTTCAAGACCAGTCTGAACAAGAACGAGACCATGTCTCTACTAAAAATAGAAAAACTTGGGCAGTGCCTATAGTTCAGTGTGTAGGGTGACAGCCACATATACCAAGGCTGGCAGGTTCAAACCCAGCCCGGGCCAGCTATAACAACAACGATAACTCCAACAACAACAACAAAAAGAATAGGTGGTCATTGTGGCAGGTGCCTATAGCCCCCACTACTTGGGAGGCTGAGGCAAGAAAATTAAATTTAATTTAATTTAAATTTAAATTAAGAATAGAAAAACTGAAGCAAAGGATCGCTTGAGCCCAAGAGTTAGAGGTCGTGTGAGCTATGACACCATAGCACTCTACCCAGGCTGACAACTTGAGACTCTATCTAAAAAA